CATTATGGCAAACCGACTTCTATTTATAAACTTAACTTTATAATATTTACAATTTGGCTTCTCCATAAAATATAAATATATCGCCCTGGTCTAAATATATTATTTTATTTAGATTAAATTATAATAACAGCCACATATTTTTAATATTTACATATGTAGTTTTATAATATCTTGATTTTTATTCTAACATGATATATATTATTTGTAGAATTATAACGACGCTAAACGATGTAGTACTGGTAATTGAAACAGTATGTGTCAGTAAGAGTCGCGTCCTAGTTGAAGGCGTGGAGCACATGATCATGTGGTGAACAGTATTACAACTCGGGATCGTATTCCGCTACAAGCGGATGCATTATTAAAGTTTCTGAGGTTTTTTAAAAGCCTGCAACCAAAGTACATGCATTGAAGATTCATCACGGAAAACATTGAAAACGACGACACCGAATTTGCTTTTCAAATTCACCAAACGACAAGTAATGTCTCCAGTGTACTACACACAAGTTCGCTTCACCCCGTACGTCAATTCAAATACAATGTAGAGTGTAGACCAAAAGCGGAAATTAATTATTCATAAGATATTTTCCCCTAAATTTATATTATACATATGATATAGAAAAATTAATTCATTTAATATAGAAAAAATTAGTGAAAGGATCTTATTGAAAGAAAAATTAATTTTAAGGACCAATTACAATTTAAGAGCCAAAACTAATATTTTATTCATTAATCAATATGAACAAATATTTAAAATACTTCCCTATTTAAACCAAAGAAATTAAAAAAAAAATGTTTGTTCAATATCTCAAACCAAAAGTTTTACACCTAAGTAAAAGCATTATGCTTAAGTTAGAAGCTTTGCATCTTAAGTCTAGTACAAAATTTTTGGCTTATGATGCATATGTTGAACAGGTAGTTTTTTTTTATTTTCTTGATTTAAATAGAGGAATATTTTGATCATTTATTGATATTATTTAATAAATAAAATATTAATCTTAATACTTGAATTATATTTGGTCTTTGGAGTCAATTTTTCTTCTAAGAATGTCATTTTCACTAATTTTTCCTGTAGCATAAGTCAGGGGAAGCTTCTGCCCTCTAACTCCCTTGTGTTAGATCTTTTGGCCGGTGTCCCCGTCTCTTGAGGACACACACATATCCCATGTGATATGTAATCATGGATGTTTTTGTAATTATATAATTGCATTAATTGTTCACAAAAAAATTTTGGACACGCAATCATACAATAAAAGTATTAGTTTTGCCCCAAAAAAAAAAAAGAATTTATAGCAAAAGGTTGATTGGATTTTGACGAGAAAAAGAATTTCAACCCATTTATATAATTTTAAAAAATAGCGATAATAATAATTATGTTTGAAATTAAGTTGTCTGGACTAACCTACTTTTATAATTAATGTTTACTTTCCCTCCTCTAATTTAATGATATTATCTATTATGAAGAAAAATTTTAAAAAATAATAATTAACGCTTCTTGACAATTATAGTTTGTTTAAAAAATTAATCTTTTTTCTTTATAATTTGTAGTTCAATCCCTAAACTTTAATTCGTTGTAATTCAGTTTCTAAATTTAACTCAATTATAATTTAATCTTTAAACTTTTTTTTACAACTCAATCCCTATAATTATAACCATTTAAATATTAGTTCTTATATTTTAACAAATAAAATTATAAAGATTAAAATTATGTTAAAATATATTACGAATATTTAAAATTACTAAACTTTTAATTTTTATAAATATTACAAATATTAAAAGTTTAAAATATTTTTAATCTTTATAATTTTATTTTTTAAAATTTAAAAACTAATATTTAAATAGTTAAAATTATAAGGACTGAATTAGAAAAGTAAAGTTTAAGGACCATGTTACAACTAAGTTAAAACTATAACGTTAAATTATAGTGAGTTAAAATTTAAAAATTGAGTTATAATTAAGTAAAAATAATATAAAATAAATGATTAATGTTTTCAAAATATATATATATATATATATAACATAGTTTTTTTTTATACTTGAAAATAGAGTAATATCACCAAAGTAGTGTATCTTCAACTAATCTATTGTAGATTAATTATTGTTATATCAGTTCATTATTCACATCGATTAGCTTTCGAGGATTAACATACGAAAAAATTGTGGCCTGTGAATTACAAACCGGCATATTTAATTAACTTGGAGTTTTAATATTCATATTTAATAAACGTGCCAATTAAAGCGATAATAATCAATATATAAAGGGATGAGGAGGTAATATTCCCTTTGTATCATTATACATGTCTTTTAAAATTATTACACATAAATTAAAAAATATAATAAATATGTAAAAACATGACCTACTTTAGTAAATTTATTTCGCACTTCATTTTGTTATAAAAATATTATAATAATAAACAGTAAATTGCTTTAAAAGTAAATCAAAAAAAATGTCATCGAACATTATTTTGGAATTCTATAAAAATGTTTAATAATAATTACAGTTTTTTGGCCAAAATAAAAATCGATAGCCGCTAGACAGGGTTTATGGAAAACAAGATTAAAATAAATATCAATATTGATTATAAAACAATCAATATATGGCCACTAATTATGAAATCAGTTGAATTTGATGGAGCACGCATCGTCCAGAGCATCAAATTAATCAGAGTCGCAACAAAGTTTCAATGCAGTTGATACGTACCCATCCACGTTGTTGAAATAGCATTGAATGATCGAAATATTATTATATTAGCGTAAATTATGAAAAATTAAACGTGAAGAAATGAATGATTATTATTGTATTAGTTAATGAATATCCAAATCAACGTTTGATACTAGTCATTTTCCAACCTTGTATATTCCCCCTAATTTGTTAACCACTTTATTCTATGCACTCATCATCTGACTCGTTGACTAGCTCTGGGGAATGAAGTAGGAATATTACAATACTTCCACAACAACACTTCTATTATTAATGTTATTACGTTTGTTATTGGAAATTGACGCGATCATGTAAGTAATACCTCCACTAATCAATTTAGATTAGTTAATTACAAACAATTTAGAACGTAGAACCCACTAATACGCTAGCTGGACGTAACAGGGTAAAGCAAATTCGGTTTATGTTAATTTATTGAAAGCAGAACAGTAGAAGCTTTGCTAGTTTGATTATTGTGGTCTTTGATTTGGTTAAAAACAGTTAAATAAAGCTAAATATTAATCTAAAAGCAGTTATGATCATTTTTGGAATTAAATAATTAGATCTTGTCAAGTTTGGCGTGAACAAGTTTATTACAATCAAGTTAGATAACTTGGCTGATCCCAGCACCAACTCATTTAAAGGAAACTTCAAAGATGTCCGTAGTGCCTGTAAGATTTGGTGTGTCTATAACTATATACAGTCTTTGTCATCATCATCATCATAATTTTAATTTTTTTTATCAGTATTAATTAATAATATTTATTATGTTGACTAGTTTAATATATTTTTATAATTAATTAATTTATATTATAAAATATGGAATTCATTTGTATTTTGAAGAGAAAAAATAGAGTTTTTAATTCCTGAAATAATTAGTCAACTTGAGTTAAGGTCGTTGTAATTTTTTTTCATTAAGAATTGTGGTCATTTTTGATAAAATTCTTAATATTATCAAGTTTCATTGCCACATAATTATCATATTATTATCTTTAAAAACCTTGACCAAAATTAACTATTGTTCTAAGGATTGATTATTTGACGAAAAAACAACTATCCAATATCACTGCTATTTCTTTGTTTTTCTTGGTAGAACACACGAAAGGTACATTAATACACAAAACAAGGGATTGAATCTTTTGCGAGATCTCGATATAATAAAGAAAGAAGCTCCCTAGGAGGCATATAAAGAAAAACAATTATCAATTTGATTCACACTCTTCTTAGCAAATCAATTTACATGTCTATTATTCTATTCAAAAGCACACTTAACCACAACATCATTTTGATTAAGAAACTTGACACCATGCCTGAAGTTGCTAGAAATTAGTTTGTCCTGAGACAATGAGGGATTGAAAAAAATTGATAACTTCTTGTTGAATCACTCCCCACAATTAGTTTCTTGATATTCATATTTTCTGCGGCATTGAATCCATGATAAATGCTCCACAATTTCACTTCTAATAGAGTATAGCACCCCAAATCACGCATAAAATTAGCCATCTACATTCCTCTCTCATTTTGAAATAACCCTCCACACCTTGCACATTTAAAATGACCTTGCACAAAACCATTCATATTGAGCTTCATTCATTCTTGAGGTGGGTAGTCAAACCCACCTTTTACTTGAGTTAAAGAAATTATAGTAGAATTATTTTCCCCCAAGTTTTTATGCATTAAGCTTGCATGGCTAGTAATCCTCTTAACTAGGCCAAGAGGGTTGGAAACAATATTATTGAATACACGATCGTTGTGGTATTTCTATAGGGTCCAAAGAGTAACAATAAAAAATAATGTCCCATGAATAAAATTCATAACATATTTTGTAATTAAGATTTCAATAAAAGATCACTGCTATTCTATTAGAGAAATTTATATTTTTCCTATTTTAAAATATGTTTTTAAGTTATTTTCTTGATTTTATTTATAAGTTTTTTTTTTATCAAAAAAAATTTTAAGATTCATTAACTTTATCTCAAAATTTAATAAGTTCTTAAATTCACTCCAATTAAATATATATTTTAATAATATATTTTTTGTAATATTTAATGGAGATAGATGGGTAATTAATTTGTATTGAAAATTTAATGGTATAATTTTACTTTTAAAATAAAAAAAAAAACTCTGCCTTGAACTGACACGTGAACAAGGCAACAAGAAGGTTGTTTTTGTAATTTCGGGTTCGCAACAGCAAGAATCCAGGGGCATTTTGGTCTGGGGGAGGAACAGTAAGAGGAATGGATTTGATTCATGTCAGAAGTCTGAATTTCTAGTGCTTCATTCTTTTTATATATCACCAGCAATAAAAAAGGCCTCACAAAAAAGGAGGAAAGGACTTGTCATGCTTTTTCTTTTGCTTCCTGTGAAAGGAAAAACATTTTTCAATGTTGAATCGGAATTATTCTTTCGTCCTAACGTCCATTTCCATGTGAAATTACAGCATCTTCTTCTTCTTCTTCCGAATCTCACTTGAGTCGCAAAGTGGCAGCAGCAATATTATTACTACTATTATCATTATTTTTCATTTTGAAGTAAAACCAAGTCAAAATCATTTCGTTGCCCGGAAAGAATCTTCGCTCCAGAATCGGAACCTGGCTTCTGATTTCTCCAAGCAAAAATGGCTAAGCGAGGATACAAACTACGTATCCTGTTCTTTTTAAGGACAAGACATTGTTTGAGAGAAAATGCTCACCACGAACTGCTTCTGCTTTACTAATCTTGGAATTGAACTGGTTTTTTGTCTTTCTTTATTGAGATCATTGTTTCCGGTTGTTCTTCCTGTTGAAATCTGGCAGAAACTGGTCTAAACTGCAAACTCTTTTTTTATTTTATTTTAATTTCAGTTTTCTGTTTTGGTAAGAGGAATGGATTCTCTTTTAGTTTTATAAAAAGATGTGATGCAAAATGAAAATGTAGGATGCTCTCGAAGCAAAATGGAAATTATGATGAAGTCAAAATCATACGTCTTGCTGCTATGCTTGTTTGCTGGGAAATCGGGGCAGATACGAATGAAAACTTAGTTTTATTTTTCATTCCTGTTTGGCTTCGTTGAATGATTTAGATCAGCCGAAGAGTTTTGGAAATCTGGAGGAATTATTTGAATCGAAGTGATGTATCAAGCAGTTTTATGCTTTTCTTTCCCTTCCATTTCATTGGTGGTTCGATATATTCTGGTCTTGTTTTTTGAATCTTTGATGGTCTGTTGATGACTCTGTTGAATATAGATATTTGTTCATTTCATAATGTCCTCTCCTTAGCTAAACAACTGTAGAGGAATTTGTGGCTCATTCAGCAAACGTCAATTGTCTAAGTATTGGAAAGAAGGCCCGTCGTGTTTTTATTACAGGAGGGGATGATCACAAGGTCAATCTATGGTCGATTGGCAAGTCAACTTCTTTAATGGTTAGTTTGATTTCAAATTTTGTTGTCTAGCCATGTGGCTATTGCAGGATCAATTGCCCTTGATGGAAGTTCTATTCCTGATATGCACTTTATAGTGGTTTGGGAGGTTATCTTTTGTATGTGACTGAAGAATGCCCTCTCAAGTTCGTATTAATTAGTAATTAATAAGCCTAGATCTGTACCTCATCTCGCATAATGCTATCCATATAGCCTGATGAAAAGTGTTTCCTTGTATAGTTTTTTGTTCTATTGAAATTCATTATGAACTCAATATAAGGCTGGAAATTTCTACCGTAGTTGCTCATAAAAACCGTTCATTTGTGCATGTCTTCTGATTGGATGCTAATCATGGTATAGGACTATTGTTTGATGGAAGCAATGCCAACTATGACTCTCACCTAATAATGCTGCCTATATGAAAACATTTGCAGAGCCTTTGTGGTCATACTAGTCCAGTTGAATCTGTGGCTTTTGATTCAGCAGAAGTGTTAGTTCTTGCTGGAGCATCAAGTGGAGGAATAAAGCTCTGGGATTTGGAAGAAGCAAAGAGTAAGTGAATGACTGTGAGCTGAAATTCTAGGCAATATATTATATAGTGGTATAACTTTGGGAGCATTGGATTTTACAGAAGGGAAGGACTGGCTTAACATAAACATAGACCTTTATTTATTTCAACTTAAATGAAATACAAGCCAGATAATCTATTTTGCACGTATCACCCTATAGGGGAATTGAGGAGTGCTGTTATGTTATCACTTTGAGGTCCCTGTTTTTCAAATGGGGTCCTCCTATAGGATTCCTGTGTTTCAAAGTTCAACAATAAGCTCCTAATAGATCTGCTTCTATCCTTGAAGTATAGTGGTTCGCACTCTTACTGGACACAGATCCAACTGCACAGCTGTTGAGTTTCATCCATTTGGTGAGTTTTTTGCATCTGGCTCCATGGATACTAATCTCAGGATTTGGGACATACGGAAAAAAGGATGCATTCATACATACAAGGGCCATAGGCAAGGTGTTAGTACTATTAAATTTACTCCAGATGGCCGATGGGTAGTTTCTGGTGGATTTGATAATGCCGTAAAGGTAATTATGTAAGCTTGTTGTTGTACTGCTTTCAAATATTTTGGCCTTGTATTGTTTTTTTTTTTTGGCTCGCTTGCTTTGTTTAATAAAATAATAAGCCTATCAATAAACCTGGATCTGCCTCCCCGTTGCACAGGTGTGGGATCTAACTGCTGGAAAGCTCTTGCATGACTTCAAGTTCCATGAAGGACATATTAGGTCCATAGATTTCCATCCACTTGAGTTTCTTCTAGCTACAGGTGAGTTTGTGACTAAGTGACCTTGGAGCTGTTTAGTGTGGTAGAAGCCTATTCGGTTGCAAACTTGCAATATCTTTGTAAGGATTTCTTGTTTAATAGTCACTGCTGCTTCCTCCATATAGTAAAATTTTTGACATATATATCATGAGAAATTCTTGGGTACATTGCATGCATGTTCATGCAACGTGCAAGGTCCCAACTTTCTACACGTTCAGATAGGCAGGCCGCAGGCCCTATTTGTTCTGATTAATTTGGGCTGATGCCTGTAAATACAAGCAACATACTCATGAATTTCTTTTAACATTTTTAGTGCTGGAAAAAAATTAATTGCTTTGTATTCTTGGTTGAAATTAATTAAATCCCATGCAACTTTAGTGGATATAATATCCTGCCTTTGGTCCACTTGGGGGAAGGGGGTTGGAGGGAAGAGAGTAGCACCTCAATAGGGGCTTCCTGGACATGTTTTGGGTGTCCATAACCCCCTACACGTGGTGATAACAATTCTTTTTCTTTTTTATTACAAGGCAAGCACACAACACTAACACACACTTCCACTTGGGGAATCAAACCTGTAAGCTCCCCTTACTAGGGAATAGATAATGCCATTTGATCCACTGGGTCATTGGCATGGGGATTACAATTCTACATGTATTGAAAGGGTGAGAAACATAGTGGATAAATAAACTAAAATTACATTTTGCAGGTTCAGCAGACCGAACAGTGAAATTCTGGGATTTAGAATCATTTGAAATGATTGGATCTGCTCGATGTGAGGTATTGAATGTTGCTGCCTTTTGTTTTCTTTTGTTTAAAAACGAGTTTTGTTCAATTATGTCATAATTTATGTATTCATATTTGCTTCTTTTCTGTTTTTTCTTCTAAACCTCTGCCAGTTGTATGCCCCTTCTAACTCTTGTGAAAACTCACTGGTAAATTTAGCAGTGGGACATGATTCTTGACAATTTTTGCCAGGGAGTCATCATGCTGTTGTTTGGTGTTTTGGCCAACCATATTGTTAGTTATTGATGAGTTTTGGTGAAAATTACTAGCGTGTGGCCAAGAACATACTCCGTTTTCTGTATTCTTCAAGCCTGTGTGCTTACCCAAATACATGCACAAGCACTAAAGTTTGAGTGTGAGTGTGTATGTTTGTTAAATGGGGAAAATTTAGTCATACACATGAAAAGTATATGGCTTCTAAATTATACTACTCTGAGTCAAACTAAACTAAATTGCTTTCTATAGGCTACAGGAGTACGCTCAATAGCTTTTCATCCTGACGGAAGGGCACTGTTTGCTGGGCTTGAGGATGGTCTGAAGGTACAGATTATTATTGTAATAATAAGATCATATAGTAATGCAGCAGTTTGAACAGGACTGAAATATAATTTATGATGCCTATCTGTTCTAGGTGTATTCATGGGAGCCTGTTATATGTCATGATGCTGTTGATATGGGATGGACGTCTCTTGGTGACCTCTGTATTCATGATGGGAAACTTCTGGGTTGCTCATACTACCGAAACTCTATTGGAGTCTGGGTGGCAGATATATCAGTAGGATCCACTATCACTTACATTTCCTCCCAAATTTTTGTAATTTGATTTGTTTATTTATGATTTTGTTGGTAGCTCTGAGAATGATAGTTTTTCATACTCCATAACTTTATGGCAATATGATATCAATCACTCGTAAACATGATAGCATCACTTTTACATGGTTCATGCCAGTAGTGAAAGTGAGGTTTATGTAGAACTGAACAAGAACCAAGAACAATTAATCAAAACTCTTCAACATATTTCTTTTTAATTTAATTACAATTCTGAAATCCTTATGACATTATATGTCTTGTATACTGCAACTCAAATTAGTTTGCATCTATCAAGTAAATATGAACTAGGAAGACTATAAGAGATACCCAAAAGATTTTAAAATTCAAAATGATTGATGGATAAACAATAAAGCCCCAATTCAAGGCAATGATTCCCAAATTACAAATTAAAATATATAATACACGATATTAACATCATCTGCTCTTACTGTATTAAGGGTGATATGACTCTCTGGCAATTGGCAAGCATCATAATCTTTGAAGATTGTCAAGCAACTTTACCGATGTGTGTGAAATGAAGAATGGGAAAAAGAGTAATATGGATAATTATTTGTAAATCAAGAATAAAGAGGCTTAATATTAGTGGTTTTTTAATCATTGTTGTTTCCTTTCTTAATTTCATCATGCTTGATATTAAGGATTATCTTTTTTATTGTTTCATTTTTTGTTTTCAGCATATGTTTTGTGGTTTCTTTTATGATCCTCAAGGCTGTAGACTTTTGAGGATCTTAAGTGATGAAATAAAATATCAGTATTTTTCTCCCTCCGCCTTCCCTTCCTTATCTTTGTTCCCTACATTTTTCTAAGCTGGTCAGTGCGCTATGCGCTATTTTCTTGTCTACATACCTTTCATTTGTTGCTGTTCTGAGTAAAGTTTTATATCAGCTTATCGAGCCATATGGCACTGGTCTGGAACCCAAGAAAAAAGTTGGTGTGGATCGGAAACTCAGCTTTCAGGAAAATCAACTGGAGAAAGTGGAGATTGATATAGGACCAACTTCTGGATTGCACTTTATGTCTCCTGACAATGAACCAAAGGAGATAAAGAACATATATATCGATTGTAAGTTGCCTATATTTTATCTTTCAGAAGTCACACTTGTAAACTCTTTCTGCCTTTCCTTTTCCTCCTTGTTTTTCTGCTCGATAAACCCAGCTTGTATTAATCTCTGAAATTTCACAATTACCGATTTTATCTCGATGCCATGTACGATCTGTATCCCTGCATGCTTTAAGGTTTGTTGAAGGAATAATTTGATATGATATTTGGCTTTGTTAGAAATTTTTCTTGCAAAATAGAGTTTTACATCCTGTGTACCTAGCAGATGCATTTATAGGATGTTGCTCTGATTACATCAAAAGATCTTTTCTATCTGGGGTGAAGGATTCTACTTATAATTTTCTGGAGACATAAGTTGGAAGGTTATTTTACTTACTAGCATTCACAAAGGATTTGGCATGATGAATGCAGATCCCATTTACTTGTCATTCTTAATTTTCAATACTTTCCAAATTCTTTATCTAATAAATTTCTTTTCTTCCTTGTTAAGCTTCCGGAGGGAAACCTGTTTCCTTGCAGAGATCTGGCTCTTTTACTTCTCCAATTGTTGATCTCACAGAAGATTCCAAGGAAATTTGTAATTTGGGAATGGTGAAGCAGAGTCCTGCAACTGGAGTTCACGCAAAATCAAATGAGCAAGCACTTAGAAAGTCTTTCTTTGTGCCAAACATTGTACCTCGGGACATTTCTGGTGGCAATGACTCAGCTAAAACTGGGAAAGAAACTATCAACTTTTCAAGGACAAAACCTGGAATGCTACTCAAGCCAACTCATCGACAGGGAGCATCTACTGGAATATGTGATGCAGAAAAGTTTTCAGAAGATGTGGGTTCTGGAACTTTTGACAATACAACAAGTAAATTAGACAGTGTAGAAGATCTTAACAAGCTAGGGTCTAAAGATGAAGTCAAAGATTCTTGTGAAGACAAATATCCTATCAAGAGTGTAACAGACAAATTTGAAAAGGCTTTTTCTCCACGCAAACTCTCTGAACAGGATTCACGTAAGTTCTTGGTATTACACTAGAGCAGGTCAACTGCGGCTATACATGTCATTATCATCTTACCTCATCCTATTTACTTCTCTCTTTCTAATTATACTGTGTGTTTATTGTCACGTGACATAATTTTGTTCAACTATTTTCTTCATTAATTTGATAACTGGTTTTCACCTTGACATGAGCTGATTTTTTCTCCTTAATTTCTATTATTTTATTTTTTGTTTGCTTCTATTAATTAATAATTAATAATTAATTTTTTATTGTATTAATTTCTATGAAATACATTATATTATTAATTAATTAATAATGAAGTGAAATAATACTTTAATTAAATAAATATTAATATTAATAAATACTTTTTTCGCTAGAAGTTGCTACATTAACCTTCTCAAACCTCCTAGCAAAAAAGAACCTTCTCAAACAAGCTCAAGCTATGGTGATATTTGTTTCTTGTGGTTAGCTTCAATTTTGTTTTGAAAATTTTTAAAAAAGAGAGCTGAGATGCCATGTATAAGCCAACTCACAAGTATGCCTTGTATACTTTGACTGATTACTTGGATTTTTTGGTTTCACTATTCAAGTAATTTTCTCTTTTTATTCAGGTGATGAATCCATTCCTTGCAATGAGGAGATTAGTCCAGTTAAATATGTCAATGGAGGTTTGCCATCTTACTAATGTGGCTTTGTACATTAGAAAGACCACTGAAACTATGATATTAATTTTAGCCGCGAAGATTAGTCCAGTTAAATATGATATTAAATTTTACTTCTGGCAGTTGTTGTTGTACGAGGAAGGACCCGTTCCCTGGTTGAGAGGTTTGAAAGAAAAGATAGAACTCCCAACAACAAAGATCAAATTAATCCATCCCTCACCACCAAATGTGAAACAATGGATGAAACGAGGGAAGGAATTAATGCCAATGATGGTCCAACTAATCCCTCCCCTAACTTAACAAGTGAAAGCAGGGAAAGAATTCACGCAAGTGAAGATCCAAAAATTACACTCTCAATGCCTGCCACATTGTGTGAAAGTGAAAACACTCATTTGGTCACGGTAAAACTCTTGAATTAGTTAAGGTTGTGAAATTTTAAAAAGTTGAATTAGTTAAGTTCAGTCAATTTAATCTTGTGCAATATTGTCAGAAAGTTGAGCCTCAAATTCCTGAAAGGGATTTGTACTCTGCAAATGAAGGAGAAATCATTGAGGGTCTTATGCAAGCTCACGATCTAACTTTAAGTAATCTTCGCTCGCGCTTGACAAAAGTACAGGTATCTTTAGCTGCATGTTGGCATTAATAAGTTCTATTTTGCATAATAGTTTGCTCAAATTTGTAGTGATTGTCTGGCTGCATTAGTCTTAGCCACGAAACAAAAGTCTTCAGCAATATGCTGGCGTGTAAAGGATTGCCGGTGGTTTTATGTTGTTATTTGCTTGACAAGTGTCATTACAGGAATAGTAAAAAAAAAAAAAGGAATAATAGACTCGAAGACATTCTGTGCTTATAATCAGTGAGTGGTTCTAATGTGCATTTGCAGGTGGTGCGGCATTTTTGGGAACGGAATGATGTTAAGGGTGCAATCAATGCTCTGAGGAAGCTGCCAGATCAATCTGTAAGTATCTTGAATTGTCTGTGTCACAAGCTCTTGTTGCCTTTTCCATATTTGATGCTTCTAACTATAAGTTGATGGTTTTCTCCTTGCATATATATTCCTTCTGAATCCTTTTGCAGGTGCAAGCAGATGTTGTTAGTGTTCTTGTGGAGAAGACAGACCTTCTTTCCTTAGAGTTGTTTACTTGTTTGTTTCCTGTGCTCGTAGGATTGCTGGACAGCAAGATAGAAAGGTAATTCGTTATATAGTGTCTGGAAAACTCTTCATGATGGGTTTCGTACTATGGAGGAACTGAGAACTCTTGCATGACCCCATTTGTGGGCATTGGTCCCGTTATAGGAGTGTCTATATTTATGCAAAACATGCATTGTATATACCCAAAAAAAAAAATAATAATAATAATACGCATTGCATGTGCTGATCATGGTTTCGTTTAGAATCTCGGCGATGAAATTAATAGAGGTTTCTCTTTCCTTAAAACCTCAGCAAGATGTGGTTGCTTCCTTTTTTTATTGTGCAGGCATGCAAAGGTGTCACTAGATTTGCAATTAAAGCTTGTAGCAGTTTTTGGACCCACAATAAACTCAACTATTAAAGCGCCTCCCTCTGTTGGGGTTGATCTACATGCAGAGCAGAGGTGCTTTCCCTTCATCTCCACGTGCTTTGTAGTGTGTCCTTTTTGTTGCTTGTGAATAAAACTAACTTGGTGAGATCCGCTTTTTTCCATATGGAATCTTGAGGGCAGGCGGGAATACTGCAACCAATGCTTTACGCAACTACAAAAGATCCAAAAGATTCTTCCACTACTAATAAGGTAATCATGCAGCCTTTAGTGTTGCCGATGTGTGCAGTGTTCCAGACCAAGGGCTTCAATAACGAATGCATTGAAAGTCCTCGCCACTTTTTATTTTATAGCTTAAGAAGGTGGGGCATGTTCTTTTGTAAGAATTGCATGACCTGGAAAATGAAATTCTTGTGCTGGAAAAAGGTTTGTAGTGTTTGGCTATATTGCCCATGATCCTTGTCAATGGTCAATCCCTCAGTTTCAAGTAAAGCCGCTATTTCAAACTTTCAATCTGTTACTTTTTATACATCAAGATAACCTTTTCTCTTTTTTGGGTGGGAATTTGATGCATTTTACGCTACAAAAATTCCTCTAAAATCCTGTTCAGTTAATCTTTACTCTCACATCTCATTCACGTCAAAGATACAGCAACCAAGAATCACAGCTGTTCTGATTTTTGATGCAGGAGAGGTGGTTTGTTGGCTAGGTCTGCCCAGGAGTTAAATTTAGTTCTTCAACAATCCTGAAGATTTGACTTTGATGAACTTCAGCCAATTCATGAAGCGCTGCCTGGCATAGCACTCGTTTGGATAGCGGGATTCCATCCGAAACTTATTCTCAGTCACAGCCAAAACAGTCTTGTCTTGAACTCTGCCTTTAGCTGTCATCTTTGGCTTTGTTCTCGGCAGAGCATGAAACCAGTGAGATTGTTGTTAAGAAAGAGCTGGACGAGGCATACTTTCCCATATCTTTAGACGTCTGAAAGTGGCAGCAACTTTCTTCAGAGTTTTAGGCTTCAAGGGCATATCTGTTTGTACGTATTTCTTTCTTTTTTCTTTTTCTTTATATGGATCGTTCTTCTGCTAGTTCTGATGATCCCTCACCAGCAAATGTACCAATCAGGTTCATGTAGATGCAATAGCATAAATTTGTATGTATTTTTCATGATCAATGAAAAGAATTATCAGTTCTTTTGTTTAAACTTTAAAGCTGTTTGAGTTCTGATTTTTGTTGTTCATGGTGATTACTTCGAAGTTCTAACCTCCGTCATCGCTGAGCCTGAATCATATGTTCGACATAGTTGCTATTACTGCGATTTACAATTTTACTGTGGCTGCGGTTTTTGGGCCAATAAATGTGACTGAATTGACTAATTTAGTTGTACAATCGTAAAATTGTAAATCGTAATAATAGCAGCCATTTATTAAGAGTTGCTTAAAATAATTAAAAAATACTCCCTTCCTTTAAAAATGTAGGCATTTTTTTAAAAGTTAAATGTTTAAAAATATAAGACATTTTTATTCTTTTAAAATATAATTATTGCCTTTTTTTTTTCAAAAATACCCCTATTAATAATAATTTTATATTTATTGTAAGGTGTTTAATAAGGGTAAATATAAAAAAATGGAGTTAGTTGAAAAATAGTGGCTACTTTATTAGGGGGTGAAATTTAATTAAAAATGTCTTATTTTTTTGAATAAACAAAGTAGTTGCTTCACATCATATTTATAATACTATACCTCCTTTGGATTATATAACTAAGAAAATAATTGCTTCACATTTAGTAAAAAACGGTTGTTAAAAGTAGTTATTTCTTTTACTTGGATAGTAAATTTTCCCCCCTTAAAATAGCATTATATAATGTCTATTCATTTAAATTACTTGTACTATTTTTAATGAAAGGCAAAATATGAACCATATATAACCTACCTGATTGAGGGTAGGAGGGTAAAATGGGTCAACTCCAAACCTTATGGGTTGGATTGGGTTTAACCCATTTTAATGTGAATTGAAAAAATCTCAACCCAATTCAACTTTTAAAAGTTAGCGAGTTAAATGGATAAACTTGTCAATTTATTTATTTTTTTTCATGAATTTTAAAAAAATACACTTAAATGATGTTTTTAATTTGATATTTTTTCATGATTCATTGAAGATATACCAAAATATTAACTTGTAATGTCCATGCAAAATATATAAATTGATCTAACTAGCTAAATCATATATGGTTTATGCTCACAAAATTCTCCATTTTTTCTTTTTTTCTAATTTTTTTTAAAATAATGTGGGTTAAATGAGCTAGCTCTAATGCATTAGGATTAACTCATATAATTCATGGGTTATATGATCCAGGCTAAAATAAACTCTTTTATCTAGGTCAATTTTTTTTAACTCAACCCAGCTCTTATGACTAGTAATTCAAGCCAACACATATAACTTGACTTGTGTTCCCGACTGTAATTGAGTTTTTGGTTTGTATTTGAAAATAAAAAAAAAACCTTTTTCTTATGTTTTTTTTGGCTACACCCCTTTGCTTATATTTGGACTATTGGAGACGAATTCATGCTCACATGTATTATTATATGATTTTAATCAAAAATTACAAATATTGTACATAACTAAATATATACAAATTATAAAACTAACTAAATTAGTTAGTTTATACTCCCTGCCCCATTTTATAATATGTTTTTTTTAAAAAGTATAAATATCAATAAATTCAATTAAATATAGTTTAGAATCTTAATTTATATAAAAAATATGAATTTTCTGAAACACTCTTCAACTAAAGATATTCAAAGAGTAAAATAATAAGAGATAATTTTGGAATAATTTTTATTAATGAATAATTATTTTTCTCAAAATATTTTATATCAGAGATATCGAATTATTTATAGACTAAAGTTGACATAAGTAGTAAGAACTTTTATTAGTCATTACTTAAATAAATGGTTAGAATTTGAATTTCAATTTTTATATTAATTTAATTAGAAGATAAATATCACTGAAGTATAAATGAATATGAAAATTTGCATAAAGAATTAAAGATAATAAAAGAAAGTATCGATGAAATATAAACAAATATAGGAAAGATTTGCATCAATTCTTTATACTTTTTGGCTTTCAGTAGACTGGAACCTTGAAGAGAGTGACGTGTTTGCATTTCTTTTTTAAAACATAATTATGTACTTTGTCTTATTAATATAGTACTATTTTCTTACACAATTTTCATTAACTGTCTTCCAATGCTTAATTTAATTTAACTAGACAGTGTATACTTCGTCTGTTTTAAATGTGTGAAGCTTTAGGGATAAAATAAAAAATATATAATTAAATAATAGTTTGAAAATTTATAAACATAAATAATTTAAAAAAATATATTTTGAAACAAAGGTAAAAAGATTATACTCCCTCCTATCCAAAATATAAGTAGTTTTTAGAGAGAAAAAATTTACATACCAATAAAGTCCTTATTCTCATAAAAATATATATTATTTTTTTTTACCCTCAGTCTCAATTATCAATGCACTTTATGAAAAGTGAAAGATATATTTAAAAAAAAATACTTAGATTAATAAATACAAGGGAAAAAAATGGACGATATTTTTTTTACATGTATTAGGTTGTTTATAATTTAAACAAATATCGAGAGGAAATACTTATATTTTGAATTATAGGAGTATAATGCAGACTATGCGGGGGAGATAAAATAAACAATCTATTTACATGTGTTAATAAAGATTGTGCTGTGTATTTTATTGTATGTGATGATTTGTTTAATTACTTTTATGAAGCCAACTAAATTTAGATAGATCTTACATTTACATAATATGATAAAATTTTCACTTGTGCATTAGGGTCAGAATCCATCTCAACATGGAGCACAATTCCCATAAATCATGTGCAGATTTGTTTAATGAAATTGGTCTCTTCTTCCTGTCAATTTCAACAGAGTCATCTTAATATTAATTTTAAATTTCTTCACCGATTTATATATGTGTGATTTAATTTGTTAGTAAAGTTCATGTACTATTATTATATGGTGAAATTAATGCACCATAACTTTATCCTATTACCATATTTTAAATTAGAAGAAATATATGGAGGAAATAATTCAAAGCATGATTTTCGAATTGGAATGGGAGGTCGCTCTTTTATCCTGGCCCATATTTTGTGCCGAGGCCTTGAGGGGTAATATTACAAACGGAGCCTTGAGGAGGAACCACGTGCTAATCCCTTCTTTGAGATATGAAGGTTTTTTTTTTTTTTTTTAAGAAAAAAAATTCAAATAAGTTAGTCCTTAAAACTTACTAGAGTTAGGACATACTACCAAATTTAAAAAAGATCATTTACTAATAAAATTTTCACATCAATAAAAGAATTTGACCCACAATCTATAAAATCATGTGATCAAAAAATAAAACCTCTCATTAATAGGGGAATTTGATCCCAAAGCATTTTGAGTTATAGATCAAATATTTATTAAACTGGTTTTTATTGGTTCCTTAGATTTGATTCCAAAACACTATGAATTAGATCAAATCTTTATCAAACCAATTTTTATGTGAGTTATGAATTAAATCTTTATTAAATTAATTTTTCTTGGTTCCTTGATTCGAACTTATTGTGTAAGAGGTGAAAGCAAAACTTTCATGAGTCATGACCAAAACATTATAAGTTATAAATCAAGTCTTTATCAAACTAATTTTTATTGGTTCTTTAAATTTAATCTCATAACTTTATGAGTTATGCATTAAATTTTTATCAAATTGATTTTTATCGTTCCTTGGTTCAAACTTATTATTAATGTTGTTGTTGTTGTTGTTTAAGAGGTGAAAGCAAAACCTTCACGACCAAAACATGAGTTTTATGTAAGAGGTGTTTTATTTTTGTTTTAGATCTACCTGGCTTCTGGTCGCCAGAACAATATGTCAACCTGACCGATCATATTGGGCCAATTCTATTTGCTGGGCCACCTTGGCTCTAGTCCCAAAAGAGAAAATCAGAGTTATGTTGGGCCAATTATTTTTACCGGCCCATTGTAAGGTTCCTTTCTCATTCTTCTCCCTTCTTTGTTTTTTTCCAACTATTAGATTAAAATTTGAATGATTTAAATTTAATTTTTTATAAAATTATTATTATTATTATTATTATTATAAAAAATATAAATATAAATAATAAAATTCAAACTGTTAAAATTTTTATAAACAGTTAAAAAAGTACGATATAAAAGTATAAAAATTAAATATAAAATGTTTAAAGCTTCATCTTGTGGTTAGAAATTAGGAGGAGTAGGGAAGAAGATATGAAGGGGAAAAAAATAGCGAATCATCTCCCAGTTTTGACTTCAAGACCGAATAATTTGGTGATTTTTTTGGTTAATTTCTTCAGTCTAAACTTAAATTTTTTTCACAATGTTTGAATTAAATATTTTGTATTATTTACAAGGTAAGTATTGAAGCTGAAATACTGATATATAGACATGTAGAAAAAACGATAGATAAATTGTGAAGTAGGAAATTTCTTTTGCTTGGCTTGATGTAGCCATTCTAATAATAAAAACTCAAGACACATGGTTCCCTTCACAAGAAGCAATTTCTTGTTCATACACATAAAACAGATTGGAAGAATGAGTGCAAGAAACAAGTGAAAGAGATACTTAAGTATGATAAAAATGGCCAAAAATGCATTAGTTGTACAAAAAAATTAGGTGTGGGGTAAAATAGAATTAATGTTCCAAAGAGTGCCAAAACTTGCTCCAATAGATATTATTAACGATAAGAGAATCAAATGCACCAAAAAGCATGTAAACCCACAATTGGAGGCAATGAAGCTTACCGTTTACTCTTCGTGAATAATTTTCAAGTCACAATTATTAGGGCCATTGAAGAGAAAAATTCAATTGCAGTTAGAGTGGGTTCACCAATCTAAACCTAACATATAATTTTATGCATATAAAATAGGAAAAAAATTTAGATACTTAATTTTATATATTTAATATATTTGTTTTCAATTAAATAAGAACATGTGAATATTTTATAAAATATCCATTATATAATAAATTCTTATTATTAATTTAATTAACATATTAAGATTTACTTGTCATGATTTGATTGAATATAAGTATATAATATTAAGTACATAAATTTTACCCATAAAATACTTGTCATATTTATAAGTTATTTTTAACATGTTTTATCA